ACACAGAGAGAGAGAGAGAGAGAGAGAGGGGGAGAGAGAGTGAGAGAGAGAGAAAGGGAGAAAGGAAGCCACCAGGTCTGGGACTTGAACCATGGTTGGCTATGTGGGAGTGTCCAGCACCTCAACCACCATGCCACCTGCTGGTCCCCAGATACATAGATATTTTAAAATGTAATTATAAACTTACTAAATACACACATGCAAAACAGGCCAAGTAGGATTTTGTACAATTTAAGAGCCAGCAAATGGCATGGTAATTAAAAGGCAATGGCCTAACATATGGCCAACTTGGTTCAAGTCCCAGCTATGGCAGGTTTCTCTCTCTTTCTCTCTCTCTCACATCTCTCTCTTGTCAAATTAGAATCAAATAATTAAGATGATAATAAATGAAATGAAAAGAAAAGAATGAACTTTTCTCAGTTTGATTTTTTCCCCCTTAAGGAAATGCGTGTTAGCCAGAGAGAGTGCAGTGTGAGGGGTGGATGTGAGAAAATATATTTTGGGGCAATGGCCATGCAACAATTTCATCTTCTCCAGACTCTTTTCGGGATTGTTGGCATGCACACACATGTACCCACCATGTTCTTCTAGGACCGGGACTGGGACTTGAACTACACACTCTGTCATGTGGTTAATCCTCACCACCTGCTGTACCCTACATTGAATACAAATGTATCCTCCTTGATGAGTCTGTTTACAGTACCTTTGACATTATAATTATGAATAGCTATGATTTCCTGAGATACTCTAAAATATCAGTTCTATCTACCCAATAGTCACTTAGACTTAGGTGAAGAGAAGTGATATTGTTTACATCCAATGCAAATGTAAAGTGTAGACAAACTGTCATAGATTGTAACTTTCCAGCTATCAAGTTCTCAAGTATGAAAAACCATGTTTCCCTACCCCAGCCATGTCATTAACATATATTATGCATTTGATGAGTATTAGTTGTATGTATAAAACAACTGTTGAACAAAAGAATGAGTCCCTTGATTCATTTCTTTATGAAAAAATAATCTCTAGAGTTTTGAAAGCAGCTTTCCACAATGGCCTATAATATAGTCTTTTTATTTCTAAGTTATTTTATTTCTGTATTATTATTATTATTATTATTATTTTCTATAAAGCATGTGCACTCACCAGAGAGAAACTAAGTAAAAGAGGTACAGTGATTGTAAAGACCAGCCCAGGGATGGCCACATTGCAATGTTTTTGGCTTTGGATTTGGGGCACACACACACACAAACATGCACCTGGCATGATTTTCAAACCACCAGATCTGGGATTGAAACTGAAGTAGCCCCTTTAGGATCCAACACTCTCACCTCCATACCACCTGCTGGCCTCTTGGCTCTTTGTAATAAGTTATATTGTGCATATTAAGAATTTCCTACTTACTTGCTATGTCTTTTCCATTGGTACTTATGGTGAAATAGATCAGAGAAAACACAAACTTCATTAGTATTTTAATAAGAAAAATTAGGGTGTAGGAAATTAATGGAGTGGAAAAGGTGATGTCAAAGGATTATTGGCTTTTCCATAATGGAAATAAAAGACAACATTGGAATTTATTGCTTTCTCTCGTGGTAACGTGTGCTTGGCCTGCTCAGGCAGTCTCTTCTAACTGAGCAGCGAGCTGATCTTATACAGAGTTCTGGGAAGAGTGGAGATTCAGGACCAGCAGCCCTCCAGGGCCACAAGGGGGTTGACATCCTCGGGGTGGCCTGGTTATTCAGTGAGTGTTGCCCATTGGAATGTGTGTTTATCAGAGTGGGTTGCTCTCAGATAGACTGTCTTTCTGAAGAATGTGGCTGACGTGTATAACTGATAGGTAAGGCTAGTGGTCACAGACTGAGAACATGTAAAACTGGGGCAGGGTGATGGTACTACAGTAAACTCAGTGTTCAGTGAGACTAATTCTCAGGAGAAGGTGCTGGGTTTGTGTCCGGAGAACTTCCTTAGTGCCAGGCATTTGCTTGCCCATGTTCTGGGATTGGGTGAGGCTAGAATTCAGTTTCAGCATCAGGACCTTCATGGGGGTGCTGTCTCTCCGTCTTTGTCTTTCTCTATTAAAAAAATGAATAAATGAATAAAAAATTTCAATGCTTTCTTATGGCTATGGGTCAGTCCATTCCTAACCTTGAGTTGACTTTGACCAGATATTTTCTATTTAGGTGTTGGGCCAGCTTGTAACATAGTTGTGATGATGAATTCATCCTACAGGGTCAACTACATGGTTCAAATCCCAGACCTCACTAGTAGAGAAACACACGGGGCACGTGTGCATGGCTGCCCAAGGCCCTGAGAAGAGAGGGGAGGTGAAAGGATTACAGTATAGCTATTCCTTCAGGGCTTCTTTCTCTCTCTCTTTCTCTTTTTCTCTCTTTCTTCCACTCTCCTCTTCCAAACGCCAGCACCCAATAGCTAATTAAAAGGGGGGAAAAGTGTTGGCTTTTCTTAGATATGTTTGAAGTAAAGGCTGTTTTGATTTTTAAATTGTAGACTTTTTTTATTTTGCAGTTTAAAGTTTAGATTGAAAACAATTGTGTAATGATTTCTATCTAGATAATTTCTTCTTTTTTCTTAATGCTTAATCTTAAGTTATTTACATACCTTTTATTTCATAGGTATTGTTAGTTGTCTTTGTGCTTTTTTGTACTTATATGGGCTTATACTCAACTCCTAACATAACAATCTCTAGTGGAAAATTTCACTCTTTTTAAATTTATGTAGGCATATAATAGTGTTGTTCTTAGGACCTGCAGGTGGTGTAATGGTTACCTTCTTGGACTCACACACAGCCCACTGAAGTGCAAGTCCAAGGACAGCTGCTTTAAATTCATGCCAAATGAACCTGTGTGCCCAAAACCCAGAGATAAGAATGGAGGAGAAGGGATTGTGCACTGAACAACCTCCCCTGGCTTTTTTTTTTTTCTCACTTTCTATCTCCATCTCTCTCTGTCTCACGGTTTAGTGCACATGCTCTATAGTAAACATTTCTCTTAAAGAAAATATGAAGCTCTTGTGTATGTTGTTTATTGCATAAAAAATAATGACGATTCTTTATTTATATTTGAATTAGGTACTAGGCTAAATATAAACCAAAGTTTTCTAGCAATTTATTTATTCATCTGTTTTTAAGTCGCCAGGTCCAGAATTTGAACCGTGGTCAACTACATGGGAGTCCAGCGATGTAGTCATTACACCATCAACTGGTCCCCAGAAATTTTATTTAAAAAATCATAACTAGCAGACTTTTGTATTTTGAACTATGTAAAGTAGCAGCTGAGTATTTTAACTATAAGATCCCCCAATATTCAGTATTTCCCTATTTTCTTTTTTCATGTTATATGTCCCTCATGGTATGTTAAAAAAACTTCTTTGTGAGCATTAGTTGGTGTAATAGCTATGTTGCTGGACTCTCATATAGTTGACTATGGTTCAAATCCTGAACCAAGTGGCTGAACTCACACTGGGCATGTGTGTGTGCATGCTCAAGATCCCGAGAGCAAAATGGAGGAGAAGGGATTGCGGTGTGGCCATCCCCTCTGGGGGGTGATTTCTTGCTTTCTGTCTCTCTGTCTCTCTCTGCCATACTGGAGAGTGCAAGAGAGGGAAAAACTCCTTATTAAAATTAAACATTATTATATATATAAATGATACCAAAAGTGATAGCACTAATCTCATGACAAGACTTAACAGTCACTCTTGGTAGGGGGGTGAGCTCCTTATTCTAAAAAAACATTGCCCTGTAGTGTACCTGTTCATCTCCAGTACTAGCTTCCCTGTATTCTATACTTTCCTTTCAAGTTCTTATGGAATCTTTGTGCTCACACTTCATTTATTAAGTAGAAAGGTTTTACCCTCTTTTTGACTTGAGAGTTCTTATTCTATATTTTACCTCTTTAGTATAAAACCTTCTTTTGTGCTTAGGTACAACTTTTCATAGATTAGCCCATATGTCAACTTGTACTATTCATCCTCATTTTGAAGCTGAGAGTATACACTTGGATGTAGTCGACATAGGGGAATTGTTTTTAAATTAGTAAATAAATTAAGATGGGACAGGGTGGGATTTAAAAAACAAAACAAAACTAGTTATCTGTTTTTGTTATTTTGTGTTTTAATATTCTGTATAATTATTTGAAACCAAAGGCTTTTTTACTGGGTTTCTTTCCAAGTAGTGATTCTACTCTGAGTGTGAAGGACACAAAAAAGGATGAAAATGAAGAATGGAGCTCGACAAAATGTAGAGTTATAGGAATGTTGCAGGCTGATCCAAATTCTGCTGGCCGACCATGTGTGAATGCTGTCAGCAGATCACGTGAAATAAATCCAGAAGGAGTCAGGTAAACATCTACAACTTCTTGATTTCCCTGTGACAAAAATGACCAATGGTTACCCTTTCTAGAAACACAGCAGAATAGTGTAGTCATCGGGTGAAACAAGAGAACACTCAACTGTTGATTCTATTGAAAAGTTGACACAAATAGGAACAAGTTCCTTGTTAAGGAACAGTTTCAGTAGTTTCTAGGAAAACCTGACTGTGAGGTAAGTGTAGAATTCTCTTCTGAGACTCTTTAATGGTAAAGGTAAGGGAGAACTGGGTAATAAATTAAGAGCTTGGGATTCCAGCAAGTTTTCTTCCTTTATATTAAAGCAGATGATTCTAGGTTATGTTTGTATGCTCTTGGAAATGATCTTACAGATTTGTTTATTATATTTAAATTTGTTTTAAGGTATAAGTATTAGTCCAGAGACCTCCCTGTCAGGTATTTGCTTGCCCATGGTTTGGGATTAGGTGAGGCTAGAATTCATTTGTAGCATCAGGACCTTTACAGGGGTGCTGTCTCTCTGTCTTTGTCTTTCTCTACTAAAACATGAATAAAAATCTTAAATGCTTTCTTATGGCTGTGGGTCAGTCCACTCCTAACCTTGAGATGACTTTGACCAGATGTCTTCAGTTTAGATATTGACTTTGGGTCAACTGGTGGCATAGTAATTATGATGAATTCTTCTCATGGGGTTGACTACATGTTTCAAATTTCAGACCTCACAGCTAGAGAATCACACTGGGCACGTGTGTGTGTGTGTGTGTGTGTGTGTGTGTGTGTGTGCCCAAGGTCTTGGAAATAAAATAGAGAAGGGATTACAGTGTAGCCATTCATTTAGGGTTTCTCTCTCTCCATCTCTCTCTCTCTTTATTGCTCCCTTCATCCGAGCACCAGCACCCAATAGCTTATTCAAAGGAAAAAACAAAGTGTTGTCTTCCCTCAAGTATGTTTGAAGTGAAAAGCTGTTTTGAATTTTAAATTGTAAACTTATTTTTTGCAGTTTAAATTTTAGGTAGAAAAGAATTGTGTAATTATTTCTGTCTGGATCATTTCTTTTTTTTTCCCCCTTGATCCTTAGTCTTAAGTTATTTACATAACTTTCATTTCATGGATAATTATTAGTTTTCTTTTTGTTTCTGGTGCTTTTATGGTCCTATACTCAACTCCTAATGTAGTCATCCCTAGTGGGAATGCTCACTCTTCTTTTTGGATTTATGTAGGCCTATAATAGTGTTGTTCCTAGGACCTTCAGGTTGTGTAGTGGTTACAGTTTTGGACTCACACATCGCTGATGACGTACAAGTTCAAGATTGGCCACTTTAAATTCATGCCGAATGCTAGAGGGTGTGTGCCCCAAACCCAGAAATAAGAATGGAGAAGGGATTTTACACTGGCCAACCCACTTGTGGGATTATTTTTTACTTTCTTTTTTTTAAATTTCAATTTATTTATTTGCATTCATTCACTGTACATCATTACAGCATACAAAATGAGATTTTTCCATCCAGAGTACACAGTTTATTGTCTCAATCAAGCACATCAACAAACATGTTATTGTCAGCAAATGATCTTCCATTTCTTGTTTTCTGTACGTTTTGCTTTTTTTCCCCCATCCTTGATTCCCTATCTCTTATCTTCTGCCATCTCCCACTCTCCTCCCACACTGTCTCCGGTATCTATGTATGCTTTTTATACCATTTTTCCCCCGACCTTTTATTGAATCACCAAAGACCCTAATCAATCCAAATACCCTCCTATCAAACACAGGTGACACACACATTTCCATGAACACAAGTCTAACTTTACGCATCCTATAAAGTAGCACCTAGCTGGGGCTACATATCCTACTGCAGTCATTGAATAGATATATTTTTTTTTCCTGAAACTTTTTTTTTTGTAACTCAATTTACATTCCTTCCCTAAGCATCATCACAGCACACAAAATG